TTTACCCCTTTGGTAGTTTTAGTGTTAAACAAAGTCAATAAATAACAAAGAATAAAAATGAATTAAACAAAGTCTAGGTAAATACTTAAAATTATTTGGGTTTGATAACTTTCCGAATTACCCAATTAAAATATCAATTAACCCTTCAATGGCGAAGTAAAAGTCAGCCTTGACCCAAATTTACAAAACCTACGCATGAATATTGAACACACTTCCGCTATAGGAAGCGAAAATCCCTAGGCTGCAACTAGCGCCACTTCTTGTTAGTTGTAGTGTTACTAAGCGTCTAGTATGCACGCAGTTATAATTCATTTGATAAGTTTATTCCTTTTTTCTTTTTTGTATTCATGACTATGTATAAACTATTATACTCTTTTCTATTATGTGTCATGAGACATCCTTAAATATACATATTAATACTATGTAATTATCATTTGTAAAGCAACGTTTATTCCACCATACCCATCACAAATATTAACCTAAAGTTCAATGTATAATTTCACCAATTTCATATATTGGAATATTAATTTAAAAAAAAAACAGTGTCAAATTTCGATAATGAAAATTATATGGGGCTCCCTCCATGGTCCGCCATCCGAGGGTTAATAAAGTAGCAATATAAGCATGGTATAATAACACTTCATTACTCTCTTCGTTATTTCTGAAACGAGGAAATGTGTCAATGAAAACCCATCATCGATGATTACGTGCTTATGACAGTAAATACAAATGAAATGAGTCGATGAAAACTGTCGATGATTTCAGCGAGTCGATAAATGCATAGTGTGATTGAATCGCGGTATCTGTGAAATAGTCTTGATGAAATAATTGTCGGTGATCTCAGGGTAACTCATCGCGAATATCAACGCTACTTGTTGACAACGTTTGTATTTGCAATTACTAATTTCATACCGTGTTAAAGTTTAAACGTAGTGGATAATTGATTAAACACAGAAAACTTACAATTAATAACAAGCAAAATTATCATAGTAATAGGAAGATAATAACTTTTCATAGAAAACGAAAGTATTGCGTATACGATATTTGCGTTCTATGTTAAAATACAGAAAGCTTTTGCTACATTACCACTCTTTATATTGTTGATTGAGATAAGTCTCCTTTACATGGACGTTCGTGTTTTAGAATTTTAGTAGTCAAACGTTGCATAGAAAAAGCTCTTTCTACAGGGTGTCCCAGAACTGGGGTAGGACCCGTGGAGGAATGATTGCTGAGGTCATTCTAAACAACTTTTTCCTTTGCCAAAATATTGATTAAGGCTTCGTTTTTGAGTTATTAACGAAAAACACTGGCCAATCAGAGCGCGCCTTTAGCGCGGGGCGAACCGCAAGAGTGTTGGGTATGCTCTGCGTTCAAACCGTGGTCATGATCAAGTGCAATGGCACCACGTCGGTGTAATAGGATTCGTTGTTCATGAGCAACTAATAATTCGATACTATTACTCCTTTATTTTTTTAATTCATTATTCGATACAAGTTTTGCCCAACAAATCCTATTATACCGACGTGGTGCCAATGCACTTAATCACGACCACGGCACAGTATAGGAAAGAACAGTAGGCTCCCTCCGTGTCGGCACCTTTGATCTAATGACTAATAGATCGCCATATTGCTGGTTGTGCGCGGGCTCTAATTTGAAAAGCACTCGGTATAATCAAAAAGAGATTTCGTAATAGAATACCATAGAAAGACTATTAAATATCTACTCTTAATTAAAATACACATTTTATTGAAATCTCTGTACAATACAATTATTATATACAACAATTATTCAATTAATAAAGTCCTAATAAATTATATACAAATGTATAATGTATACAGCATATCTTAGACATTAATAAACAACCCATAAAGTGGTAATATTTTGATAAAACAATGATGATAATAATAATAATGTCTATATCTAAAATGTACAGAAACTTTAGGTAAATATCATTTGACAAATATAAAATATAGGGTGTCCCAGAACGCCTGTTACTGCTGTCACTGCTTGCACTTTGGCACCCTTTGAAGGAACAACGGTATCTACCTCTTTCACTCATGTTTTATATCTGTGTATAAAATTTACTGAATTTTATCGCAACAGGAATGTTTTAGAAGTAACGGAGGTTAAAATGCAAGAAACTATTATCATATATACCGCAGTTCACCAGAGTCCATAACTGCGAAAAAACCAGTTTTCGTTCTTTCGTTCGCATCTCCGCCCTGATTGGCGATACTCACAAACGAAGTAGAAAGCGATTAGCGGAGACCTCGCTGCGTTCCCTAACCATCTTCCAACCTGCGCGTCGCGGTTATGAACTCTGGTGAACTGCGGTATACATATATTCACAGCCGTCATATTGTTGGTTGTGCGATTCGGTCATGCGCGAGCGACAATTATTAGTACGCTTTTAGGCAGAGTGATCCTACGGTTCTTTCCTATACTGTGACCACGGCTTGAACGCAGAACATACCCAACACTCTTGCGGTTCGGCTGGGAGTAAAGGCGCGCTCTGATTGGTCAGTGTTTTTCGTTAATAATTCGAAAAATTTTGGCAAAGAAAAAAGTTGTTTAGAATGACCTCAGCAATCATCCCTCCACGGGTCCTACCCCAGTTCTGCTACACCTTGTATATTGCCAATTTCAAGAATTTTTCATTTTTTCAGTTTCGTAATCGACAATATAACAAGAGCTTACTGTATTGAATAAATTATTAATTAAATATTAAAAAGCGGTACCAATTGATCTCGCGATAAGGCCAATAATTTTCTGCGATTTTTTCTCCGTTGAGCCTGTCATCTTAAGATGTCATTCGTTCATTGCATTCATCAGATATGTCATAAATCGATTGAAAAATTTGTGAGCGATACCACTCTGATAGTCAAGCACCACATGGTCCTCTTTATATCGCCAAATTCAATATTTTTTCATTTTTATAGCGTTTGCTGTCTGTGGCAATATAATAAGTGTCTACTATAGTGAAAGGAGCACGTATCGCTTCGATAGCCAAGCTTCACATAGGTGCTCTTTTTATATCGCCAATTCCGAAATTTGTTCATGTTTATAGCGGTTGCTGTCCGTGGCAATATAATGAGAGTCAACTATAGTGAAAGGAACACGTATCGCTTCGATAGCCAAGGTTCACATAGGTGCTCTTTTTATATCGCCAATTCCGAAATTTGTTCGTGTTTATAGCGGTTGCTGTCTGTGGCAATATAACAAGAGTCAACTATAGTGAAAAGAACACGTATCGCTTCGATAGCCAAGCTTCACATAGGTGCTCTTTTTATATCGCCAATTCCAAAATTTGTTCGTGTTTATACCGGTTGCTGTCCGTGGCAATATAACGAGAGTCTACTGTAATCAAAATATTTGAAACGATTGAATTGTGTAAAAAATGAATTGATTCTGAATAATAGTTTTGTGTAAAAAGTTTACTGAATTTAAACCTTATTTAAACCTCCATTATTTTGTCCAACCTCTATGTACATACAAATATGTTTCTTTGGTGTATACTAAGAAATGATCCATTAACATAAATTAAAAATAAATAATCAAAAAATTGTCAACTAAAAATTATTCAGCTTTTACGAAAAAATACGTTAAGTATATTCTTTCGAAGTTATTCAGTAACGATGTTCCGTGCAGCATGTAGGATAGAAACGACAAAGTAATGGTGACGTTGCTATAATTTACTGTTTATTACGCTTACTGCTGAACAAAGGGTGAACGCCAACTAGTATTTTGTTACGAATTGGAACTCACGTTGAAGCGTAACGATACTTTTGTACGTACACATAAAGCACGACGTGACTGTGGCATTTCGACGACGAATCTCTCGTGGCTATATGCAAAAAGCTTCCATGTAGAACGTGTATTAATTATACATCTGCAACGGCAGTTTGTTGACTATAAATAACAGTAAACCGTTGCATGCTAACGAAAGTCTCGAGCGTTCAATAGGATTCATCTTTTAAGAGGTCTTCAGACGATCAATGTACAGGGTATTAAAAAAAAGTTTTCAAAATTCAAATGGCATTTACAGCATACCATTTATTGGTATCATTCATTATTGCCATGATTTAACACTAGAACTACCGATGTTTGATGCACACTTATTTTTAAGTTGAAAATGATGTAAATTATTAAAATAGATAAAGAATGGAACATAATTTTTCAACAACATAGATTTCAACAAAAATACCTCGATAAGATTTATAATTTAAAATAAGAAACTGAAAACCAGTCATTTTGACCCCTCTGATAGTTATAGTGTTAAAAAAGTCTGAATAAACGTAGGTCGAAAACTCGACCGTTTCCGAGATATTGTCAATTATTTTTAATACTGAAATACAGCACTTATGCTACATTAATTTAAAGTTTAAAGCTTAATTAAAATGATTGTACAGGGTACATATGATTTTTCAGGCATCTACTATAACGTAATATAAAATCCTTATAATTCAAAACGCAAAACTAAAAATTTTTAAATTTCTAAATTGTAAATTTCAAATTTTTACATTTCTGAATTCCAAATTTCTAAATTGTACATTTTCACATTTCTAAATTGTAAATTTCAAATTTCAGAGCTTAAAATTTGAATTGAAAAATTATATTATTTTTTTCTGAATTACTTTGAATATTAATATCATCGACATTAAAATTTCGAAAATTCCTGCTACCCCTATATTGCTATTTTCTCTAATTGTAAGAAAGCCTGATTTGATCACAATTATATGCATTAAATCTAAAAAATTTTGAAGTAAACACTGTTTCTTTGTGTATTGTCATAGCCAAGGGGTTAACAGTGATAAATTTTGATTAATAACTATTTTTAAAATATATTGTTATAAATTGCTAAAAAAGCTGCATACTATTAAAGTGTGCGTCTAGTATCAATCTTTTATCAGTATCATTAGTACAAAGTAACTGTTCGTTAGTTAGAATGATGAATCAGAGTGAAATTCGTGTATTGTGCAGTGTTACATTTATGGTTGCAGTTTCTTCAAAATCTGGGCAAGGTGGACAGAACTGCGGACGATATATTCGACGAGCATCTGCAGAACTTCATGAGGCAACAGAATGCCGCGAACAGACTGCAAAAGGAGTTTAACAATTACATCAGATGCGTTCGAGGTAAGCCGAATAACAATGCATTCGAAGGAACGAGTTGTAAACAAATGCAACAAGCTGCATAGCTGTTTGAATGGGTATCTAGAAGGGGTATGTGTATAGTACAATTTTAGAGACAAAAGGACTTGCCTCGTATGATTTAATTTATGACTTTTGAAAAACACAGAAAAGTGTATACTACATTACCTACGAGTTAATATTCTAGAGGGTTCATTAATACTAGAACTACCGACGTTTGATGCACACTACGCCATTGGATAGATCACGAAAAATCGAAGCGAAAAGTTCTGTAGCATTTTTCGATGGGATCAGTAGTTTAGCCACATTTCGTTGTTAAAAATTGACCAATCAGCGCGCAGCTTGAGTGGCAAGACGCGCGGAATAGGCTCTTCTGCCGCCGTACCACCGAACCCATAGACATATGAAAATATAGACCGAGCATAAACTGCTACTTTAGGCAAGGGGAGATCTGATATTCGGGGCAAGTAAGGTACTCGTCTGACATCGGCTTACTCCGGCAAGACTCGGTACTATTCGGCTCATATTTCACATGTATGTATGCATATGTATGTATGTATACACTGAGTTGCATTGAACTTGTCGCAGTGAAGTTGGCCACGCGTTCACTCATCGACGCGGCGTGATACGTAGTCAATTTGTAGCCAACTTCACTGCGACAAGTTCAATGCAATCATCGTACGGATGCGAAAAGCCGAACATACCCGAGTCTGCGCTTACGAAAATAGGCGAAGTCAGATGAGTTCCCCCCTTACCGCGATTATCAGTTACCCCTTATACAAAGGCTTGGTCTATATTTTCATATGTCTATGGCCGAGCCACGCCAAGAGTCAAGGTAACGGACAGTGCCGGTTGGGGGGGGGGGGGGGGGGGGGGGGCAATCGTCCAGGGCGCTAGATCTGTAGGGGGCGCCGCAGCCCGGAGTCCCTAATATGCGAATATGCCGATATTTTCTCATTGTCTCCTCTCTATCTACATCTCATATTATTTAGATTAGTAAAGTTGCTATGTAATTTAACAATTTTTACAATCTAGCTACAGATTCATCGTTTCATATTATTACCTTGTCGTTTTGTTTTTTTTAAATTTTGATCCCCTGAATGGGCACCCAGATAATCTTGCCCAGGGCGCCAATATTGCTAAAACCGTCACTGCAAACGGAGACTCCGATTCCCTGTAGTCTCCTACTCCGCATGTCTTGCCACTCAAGCTGTGCGCTAATTGGTCAATTTTTCAATTTTCAACAACGAAATGTGGCTAAACTACTGATCCCATCGAAAAATGCTACAGAACTTTTCGCTTCGATTTTTCGTGATCTATCCAGTAGTGTCCAATAGGGTAGAGGTTTAAAATAAGAAATTGGAAAGCAGTTATTTTGACCCCTTTGGTAGTTCTAGTGTTAACCCCTTCGCCTATGATTTGTTCGATAGTTGCGTTAGTCAAAGCTAACAAATAAAGAAAAATGAAATATAATGCAGACACAGTATTCAACGACCCTTGACTAAATAAATTAAAATTAGAATTCAACTGAAAATTCAGCCATACTAAAAGCACCAGCCTACACGTTTGAACTGTAGTTGCGTCACGTGTGTAATACGATGTTGCAGTGTAGGGAGTTAAGAAAAAATTAATTATTTGTATGCTTTTTGAAAAATTGATACATGCCAGTGTCAAAAACAATGATTTTTGTACCTCAATTTGTGTTCGCAGTTAATAAATTATTTACTTCTTACTTATTTAATTACTCATTATTGAATCATTATTTATTTTTCAAATTAAAAAAAGGTTGTATGTTACACCATCTATTTTTTTTAAATTGGTGCTATGAACAATACTTTTGTGTAAATTTTATGAAATGTGATTAGAAGTGTACGGGTACCCGAGCCCCGGGTCGGGTCGGATCGGGTAATGATCAAGTCTACTCGGATAATGATTGGATTGGGTGGGGTAATGATCAGGTCGAGTCGGGTAATAATTGGATTGGATCGGGTAATGATCAGGTCGAGTCGGGTAATGGTAATATTAAGTCGGGTAATGATCGTGTGAAGTCGGGTAATGGTCGGGTAATGTTCAGATCGAGCCGGGTAATGCTCAGGTCGAACCGGGTAATGATCGGGTAGTATCGGATCGGATCGGGTCGGGTAATGATCGGGTAATATCGGGTCGGGTCGGGTAATGATCGGGTAGTATCGGATCGGATCGGGTCGGGTAATGATCGGGTAATATCGGGTCGGGTCGGGTAATGATCGGGTAGTATCGGGTCGGATCGGGTCGGGTAGTGATCGGGTAATATCGGGTCGGGTCAGGTAATGATCGGATAGTATTGGGTCGGGTCGGATTGCACGAAACCTCGGAAGTTTGTCCAGCACATTTTGTTTAGGTACCCGAATATCAACTCGGGACTCGAACTCGACTCGAATCTCGGAATTCCATTTAGGAGCCGATATTGCATTCAGGGCATGATTCTTCAAGCTTACCTTTACTAAGTTTGAGATGAAAAACACTGTCCAATTAGAGCGCGGGTTGAACCACGAGAGTGTTGGCTACTGATCGCGTTCGAATCGACGCGTCGTCGTGAACAAATGCATCGACACTACGTCGATACAATCTATGGCTTTATTTTCGAGATATAAGCAATTGAAAATTGGAATATCAGTTTCCGAGGCGTGTGTTTCGCTTTCGAACATCTGACAGCTGATATTCCAATTTCCAATTGCTTGTACAGTAAAATCTCTCTAGTTGTCCGTTTGTTGCCCTGGTGACAGTGTCCACCAACTTTCATCCTACGACTATGTATTTCTCACCCGACGCCTATGTTCTGTTCCTTCGAGTCAGTCACGCGATACGCGACGCGGCTTCTTTGATGAGAGTTAGAGTTTGGTAGTTTATAATAAAGCACTGTAACTTTTTTAATATTAATTTTTTTTGCCTACGGATTTTTTAATGGCCAGACTCTTCTGATTAAAATAAGACCAAACGCCATATAATTTGGAGCATATTTACTTTATTTTATGTACAAGGGAACATCCCCAATGCGAATTTTTTTTCGTCCATATAGTCCAAATTATATCAAAAAATTGTACCAACATGTTAAAACAATTTGCATCTAGAAAATTCTAAAAATAAGAAAGTTAAATTCTTGTTAATTTCTCGACTGCTACGGCTCTTATGCTATCTTTCTCTTTTACGATTTGTCGCCGGAGATCAAACGCAGCAGCGAGGCTCGAAAAATCGTGTCTACCCTGCCCACATTGTCCATTTTCGCTTCTCAGCCTGCGGACAACTAGAGAGATTTTACTGTATCTCGAAAACGAAGCCACAGATTGTACTGACGTAGTGCCGCCTCGGTTGTTGCTGTCAACTATTTGAAAGCGAAACACCCGCCCCGGAAATTACTATTCTAATTTTCAATTGCTTGTATCTCGAAAACAAAGCCGCAGATTGTGCCGACATGAGGGAGCTGCACTTGTTCACGACGCGCATCTGTTCGAATGCGGTCAGTAGCCAACACTCTTGCGGTTCAGCCAGCGCTCTAATTGGACAGGGTTTTTCATTAATAATTCAAAAGTGAAGCCTTAACCAACATTTTGGCAAAGGAAAAAGTTGTTGAGAATCACCTCAGTAATCACCCGTTTAAGGGGCTAACAGTCTTTCTGGGACATTCAGAGATGTATTAAGTGTCACAATGAAAATGGTCTTACGTAATAAGACACATTCATTAAATACAATAGCTATTAATTTTGTAATTTAATTGCTCCATGCATTTCTTTATTATAGATTATTAGTATACTAGTGATGTTATTTAAACTTTATCTTCTCTTTTCTTTTCTTAAGTTATTTATTCAATAATGGGGTATACTTCCGAAGGGCCCCATCACCCCAGGACAACCAAACTTCGGATTTATAGTAATTGAGGGACGAGAAATCGAATGAGACCATTTTCAGAACTGGCAATAAACCGCCCTCGAGATATACAGGGTATTCTAAAAATGCGGAAACCCCCTATTACCTCGATAAGAACGCATTTTCACGGAAAATGACTAACCTAACCTAACCCTAACCCTAACCCTAACCTAGGATAAACCCCCTATTACCTCGATAAGAACGCATTTTCACGGAAAATGACTAACCTAACCTAACCCTAACCCTAACCCTAACCCTAACCCTAACCTAGGTCAGGTTAGTCATTTTCCGTGAAAATGCGTTCTTATCGAGGTAATAGGGGGTTTCCGTATTTTTAGAATACCCTGTATATCTCGAGAACGGTTTATTTGCCAGTTCTGAAAATGGTCTCATTCGATTGCTCGTCCCTCAATTACTATAAATCCGAAGTTTGGTTGTCCTGGGGTGATGGGGCATTTCGGAAGTTTCCCCCAATAATGTTATATTTACACATTTACTCGTATTAAAGACTATACTTCATTAGCATGATTCTTCTTTTTAATTAAAAAGTAGAAAATTCTTCATAGCTGGGTATTTTTTGAATGGAACACTATATATTTCTTTCAATATGATAAAAAAGCAGAAAAATAAAAGAATTAAAACTATTAATTTCAAATGACTTTAAATCAATACAGATTGCAATTAATGAATTAATAATCATCGTTTTTCTAATTAAACGAATGAAACCTTTTGCAAAGTATGTACTAATAAAAATTAATTTATTATTATTGACTTGACAATTTATGAATCGGTAAATTACACTCGAGGAAAGAAGTTAAATAAAAAAAAATCATTTATTCCACACTGACAATGAGTGTGTACAAGTTTTGCTCTTAAACATTATTTTAAAAATAATACGACAAGAATACAAATGAGTAATTATTGAATGAAGGATATATAATAACTTCTTTTACGACTTTGTTTACTTGAGCCTGACAGTTACTTTATCAAAGGAACTTTAAGATATTTTTTTCAAAATGGAATGAATCTAATTCCAAGATTCTTTTTTATCGTTCGCGGCCTTGATTTGCGTTCAATTTTGCACTGCAAGTTACTGTTTATAGTAATTTACAAACTAGATGCTGAACCAGTATAAGAACCAGTTTTATATGACCTGTTTTCATCTGTAAAGTGAAGTAAAACACGTTTCTAAATAGAGGATGGTAGAAAATGGTTGGATCTACGGTTCTTCTGACAAATAAAATTGTAACAGGTTTCGCGTGAGTTCCCCGTGATTTATCAAAGGCACATTTAACCCTTGTAATGTTTATGTCGATTATCCTCGTCGTACAATGCCTGATTAATATTTCTGGGGCCCCGGGCTATCAAACCTCTGAGGACCCCCTTGGTTCATAAACTTGGCTTAAAAATTGAAATTTATTCCAAATAAAAATAAACATCATTTATTCCAAATAAAACATCTAATCATAAAGAAAAGGGACAAGGTGAAAACAGATTCATTCGAACCCCCCTGCGAAGTAGGACTAAGGTTATAGCTCCCTTTAGACCTATCCTTAACCCTTTGACTGTTAAGTACTTCAAGCTTAAACATTTTGTGTGTTCGAAATAAGAATTAAATCAATAACACTTATCATTCTTCTTTTTTATTTCATTTCATTTCTCAATTTATTTTTTCGTTGTTTAAAATCACCTAGACAATTTTATAAATAATTTTATCTTTTAGATAATTTTCTATATAATTTTTGAAAATTATCTGAGAGATTATGTAGATAACTTTATTGATATTTCTATCTTTTCTATATAATTTTTAAAAATTATCTGAGAAGTTATTTAGATAATTTAGTAATTAGTTTTACCTTTCAGATAATTTTTGAGATAATGTTTGAAAATTATGTAGATAACTTTGTAGATATTTTTATCTTTTCTATATAATTTTTGGAAATTATCCAAAAAGTTATTTAGATAATTTTGTATATAATTTTATCCTTCAGATAATTTTTTAGATGATGTTAGAAAATTATCTGAAAGATTATGTAGATAACTTTATTGATATTTTTATTTTTTCTATATAATTTTTGGAAATTATCCAAAAAGTTATTTAGATAATTTTGTATATAATTTTACCTTTCAGATAATTTTTGAGATAATGTTTGAAAATGACCTGGAAAATTATGTAGATAACTTGTAGATATTTTTATCTTTTCTATATAATTTTTGGAAATTATCTAAAAAGTTATTTAGATAATTTTGTATATAATTTTATCCTTCAGATAATTTTTTAGATGATGTTTGAAAATTATGTTTTAGGACTTTAAAATGATCTATTATCTTTTATAATTTAATAAAAATGGTATAGACAATTAATAGATAAAATAAGGGATAAGGCATAAAATCCGTCATGCGGCAATATAACAAGAGTAGCACATAGAGATCCACGCAGATCGCTGTAGTAATGACTTCTTTCTTTTTTAATCGACAAATACAATTAATTGCAAATCTTTTATTGAACGTTCAGACAACGTGTGTATGTATGTTAGAGCTTCGATCGATTTATCATCTACCGTATGTAACAAGCTCTTTCTATATTGCCCATTCTAAAAATTTTCTGTATCCGACATTATAACAAGAATTTATAGTAAATATATACTTCAGGGTCGAATATTGACATCTTAATCCTTACATACTTTTTTATGTGCTCTTACATCTAACCGGCAATATAGCAAGAGATTATTGTATATCGACTCGATTTACAGCGTAAATAAAAATTCGACTATTAATACTTAATTAGATTAATTTTTATTAAACGCGAGAATAACCGGTGCTCGAAACAAAAAATTCTCTCCCCAGTATTATTCTATGTACCAATTAATATTCAGTAATTACCAAGTAGAATTTATTAGTATAACAAGTAGATTAGTAAATTGACGTAAGTTCTTGTTAGCTTGGAGCAAGTAGAGCAAGATCAGCGAATCATAAACGCTCGTACGATGTTCCCCGAAAAAAAGGGTGTTCCAAGTGCGTATTCACAATTGACGACGAGTCCCGTATATACGATTCACAGATGAATGGCAGGTAGATGAATAGCGAAAGCAAACATTGAATAATGACCGCTGTTTCTGCGCAGGCTCTACGCCTCGCTCAGAAACGTCAATCGTTGAAAGCAACAGACGTTATAATTTCATCTCTACTCCTAGTACTACTGTCCCAATCTACACGTGGCTCTAAAGAAATGTTACCGTGAAAAAGTTGCTTTTCACTGCAAAATTTTCGAAAATGATTTGTTCTTCGACCATACACAGCAGGCTATAAGTAGCAGGAGATAATTTTTAGATGTGCATTCAAAAACAAATGATGCTGCAAAAAGATTTTTTTTTTGCAAAATTTTTAAACATAATTAATTAATTAATGATAAAAATTATCACCTTATATTAAGTCATTTAGAATCAAAGGGATGCAAATAATTGTATTGTATTTAACGATTTAACTTACAATTTCTGCTTATAATTAAAAAATTTCTAAAATCACTAATTATTGCAGATTTTTTTACAGTAGCCTCTCGTTATATTGCCACTTTCATAGGGATTACCAAGCATACTAATGCCACCTTTCCACCATCATAGTCTACGAAGATCATACATTTTTATCTTCCTTTCCCCTTTAAATGAGAACTTGGAATCTTGACAAATTTTAAAGCCCCATCCAAGGCAATATAACGAGAGTCTACTGTAATTCTGTGACCCAAGTGGCAAACTGTAATTTCGGTGAATTTTTACAACTTGTTTATTCATGTATTAATATAATGTTATTCTAAATCATTATTTTTATTTACAAAAATTGTTCTCATTTGCAAAAGATGTTACAATATGATAAGATACTTAAAAAACAAAATTTTCTCAAAGGATATTAAAAAATTTGTCCTTAAATAGTTGAAAGTTGAAATTTAAAAAAATATTCAACACAGAAACCTTGTATTAAATTTCAATGATCTTAAAAAGAATAAAAATTTCATGGACAGAATTATTAAAACTATTGAGAACTCCTTTTTAATGCAACGCTTTATTATAATTTGCTATCTCGAATTTTGTAATGTTTACACAAATGAATTTGTTCTGCAATCGTAATTGCAAATGTACAGACGGTGTACCTGCAAAAGGAAGTCATGATCTCCTGAAAAAGTAAGATAAAAACAGTCATTTACATATCAAGAAGTAACGACAGGGACAACAACGAGCACTTTGAACTTCTTGTTTTTACCTACCAGTGGCGTAGTACGCAGAGAATATAAAATATTTAAAATGATGTTCTTATTTAATTATTTTTAGTTTATAAAGATATTGTTATTCTTTTCCATTAAATTTAATATATAAACTATTTTTCATATAATATGAAATTCTATTAAATTACATTACAGTAGACTCTCGTTATATCGCCGCGAACTGGGTAGTAGGAGCGGAAAAGTTTCAGTAGGAAGGGGAAAGGGGGATAAAATTGTATCATTTTTATAGACTATGATGCTGAAAGAGTGACACTAGTATGCTTTAAATCCTTTCGAACGTCAAAACAGTGATGTGGCAATATAACGAGAGTCTACTGTAATTTAAAACGCGGCGCTCTTTTAATGATTTTCATATGTTGCATAAAGCACACTGACACTTTTCAAAACATATGTATGTCCCTGTTCAAAATAATCTCAAACTAGATAAAAATTTGGTTATTATTATTACTCATGAGAGATTGAAAATTTATCTTAATCAAAATTTAAAAAATTCTGTAATAAAGGGTTAAAATTAATAGTTTTTCATTGAACGTGACACCGATTAACTTGTTCTTTATTAATTAAAAATTAAACCGTATATTTGTATACCACGAAGCAATCAATTTTTCAGAGTTTCGAGAGAAATATTGGATTCGTTCAGCTTAAATAGCAAGTTAAATTTTCAGTGGTTTTCGCGGAAGTCCGTGTCTACACCAATGCATTTTACCTTTCGTTTATCAGTCGAGACGGTACGTAACAGCATTCGCACATAAATACCCGCATGCGCCGTGCAAATGGTAGCTCGACGTGCAACTAGTCGATAGATACACGAGGCTGCAGCCTTTCCGCATTCGGAATGAATCGGATCGTTTCTGAGTCCCATCGAAGTTGTCGCAGTGAAGTTGGCGCACTAACACATTCACGCCGCGTCGGTGAGCCGATGGGCGAGGTGCCGTCGACGCGGCGTGAATATGTTAGTGCGCCAACTTCACTGCGACAACTTCGATGAAACTCAGTGTACAGTGAGTTGCATTGAACTTGTCGCAGTGAAGTTGGCCACGCATTCACTCACCGACGCGGCGTGAATGCGTAGTGAATTTGTAGCCAACTTCACTGCGACAAGTTCAATGCAACTCAATGTACATACTTGTGTAAATATATACATAGAGAAAAGGGTGGTAATGTCTCCCCCTCCCCGAATCTGATTTATAACTTGAATTGCTTAAAATTTTTGCGTAAAATTTACGTAAACTATTAAAGTTACTGGAGTTTCTCTCCTATAGGTTTTCCAGTGTGTCCATCTGTCTGTCTGTCTGACTTACTGTGGAGCAAATACGGTAAGGGATAAACGCAAACAGCTTTCGCTATTACGTTCTTCATGGTCTGGAACCGTGCGCTTAAGGTTTTGGACTTCCGGTTTTGACCGGAAGTGGCACAAAACACTGACCATGTTAGATCTCAAAACCAATGTGATATTTAGAATCAGCATAAAAGAGGCTTCAAAATGACGGGTGACTCGACTTCCAGTCTGAACCGGAAGTTGTTTAAAATGAGGAAAAGATCAAAAAATTTAAGGGAAAAAAACTTCGTCTTAGAATAAAAAGAATACCAATTCTGAAATCAGCATTGAAAAGACCTTTCGGAAAATCTGTTTTTCGACTTCCGGTCTCAGCATTTTTGACCGGAAGTGAAAATATCAGCTACGTGAAATCTCAGAGAAATGTAAGAACACCAGTCATGTAAAATTCGTATTTCTCTGCTTGTTTACAGCGGTGCAAGCAGCGTCGAAGACGCTCATGGATTCCCTGAACGAGATCTACGAAAGTCAGTGGACCGGTCATGATCTTTTGTACGTGCAAGCTCAAAATCTTGACATGTTGTGGCAAGACTTCACTCACAAACTAGCGGATCAGGTGCTCGTGCCTCTGAACACCTATCAAAGTCAATTCCCGGAGATGAGGGTACGTATCAGCGATATCATTTTTTATTCACTTTTTCATTTCTCTTTCATTCGTTCCAATCTTGTACACCACCGTTCAGGGACGCAATCATAATCGCCCAATAGGGGATGGAAAAAACGTGGATGGATACAAAAAATTTTTTTTCCCACCTTATGAGTTTGATGATAATACCAAGTCTAATTTTCTTCGTTTTTGTTTATTTCCGACAACGTTTTTCTTAAATTTTTTGATAAAAGGGTCAACTGACCCTTCTAGCATTCCATTTTCTAGTTGTGATGTTCCTGTTGCTCTAAAGTTTTGAGCACATTATGATTTTAAAAGGCATAAAATTTTCTCTAAATAAATAAACGTTATGCTCAAAATACGGTATTATTCTTCTGTGGCGAAGAAGCGATACTTCGTCATGCTTAAACGTTACAATTAATTACAGTCATTTTTTTCATCTATTTTAAGTAAAAATATAATTCTATTTTAAAAAATGAAGTTGACCTTCATATCGCCCCTGCCGATAAAAAAAGTATTGACATTAAATCATGTTCCCCTAGAAATCATTTAACTTTTGTTTAAAACATTTTCCGGTATTAATCGAGGAGATTGATTTAAATAGATCACCCCGTATAAGTACAATATTTCTAATAATACTGTAAAATGTATTTCAGAAAGCTTATTTTTCCCTAGAACCCTGAGAGTGTTTGAAACTTTTGAATGGTGGCGTATAGTATCGAGTAAAGTAGGCTTCCCTAGGGAAAATGGCGATGTAGGGAAAGCAGGAATTCTCAGAATCTTAATTTTAAAATATTAACAGGAGGAGTAATTTAGAAAAAGAAATAATATCATTTTCAGTTTTTTAATGTTATAAAATTTAGTATATAACTAAGAAATTTGAATAATAAAATAAATATTAATTCAAATTTTCCCGCGTAATCGTTTACACGCAAGTAATAGGGCCACGGACTCCCTGTGAAAGCTAACTATGCTCGGTGTTATACACATATGTACAGCGCCATGCATGGAAGTTCCCTAGAAGTTTTCCCTAGAGCAGGCCTGTCCAAGTAGGGGAAATTACTGCTGGAACACATGTTTTTGGTCCCCTTCCAACGCTGCTCCTTCAAGTAAGGTGGGACGGTTCTGACTACCGTCTCTCCGTCTTTCCTATCGTCTTTGGTAGTCGGAACCGTCCCATCTTACTTGAAGGAGCAGCGTTGGAAGGGGACCCAAAACATGTGTTCCAGGAGTGGATTCCCCTACTTGGACAAGCCTGCCCTAGAGAGAATGATGAAATTCCGGGCTCTCCTCTCCCGTAGGTATGTGCTGGGTTCGGAGCTTCCTGGTCCTCGTCAGAGACCTCCCCTTTCCTGAGTTCCCGGTTCTCCTCAGAAGTTTCCATTTCCCCAGACTTCCGTCCTACCCTGGAAGCGGTCCCGAGGAAAATGACTATAGGTCTATGGGCGGTATTCATAGTCCGTTCTTAAGTTAATGCTTAAGAAGAAGCAAATGCTTATTCTTAAAATCGTCTTTCTTAAATTGACTTTATAAAGTCTGTGTTTAAGACAATCTTTTCTGCGTTCGGAAACTTCCGGAATGATTCTGTTAGAGCAACTACCAATCAGAAGCAGCTTTTCCTTTCGTTCTTGAGGGACGCTTGTGTTGTATTCAGAAGTATTGAGAATCAGAAGTGTTAATTGTGAAGAGATGGAAAGTGGAAAAAATAGAAGTAAATATTACACTCCAATGGGGAAAAGCTTTTTTTTAGAGATTTTAAAAAACTATAGCCATGTAGTATGTTTAAGGCATACTTAAGGCATGCATTTGCTTAAGGCATAAGTCTCGACTATGAATACGACCCTATGACTGCCCACCACTTGCATTTAGGCGGGAAAATTTGAATCAATATTTACTTTGTTGTTCGTACTTTTTATAAGATTTAATATTTAAAAATTATGCTATCTTTTTTTAAACCACTTTTAATATTAACATCATCAAAATTAAGGTGTTGAGAATTTCTGCTTTCCCTGTAATACTATTTTTGCTGGGGAAACTACTGCACAATATCAATCATAGTGTATAATAGGTTTTCCTAAAGCAAATGGCGAGAAGGAAGATTTTTAAAAATCCTAATGTATGAAACTCTAATTAAGATTGATTAAGAAAAAATTAATGTAATTTTTAATTTCAAATATAAAATTCACTGTATAACCAAAAAATATTGGTGACAAAATAAATACAAGTGGTGGGACCTTCTGTCCACTTTGCTTAAAGAAAAGTAATTGTAAGATGATAGACACTGTATCAGCGCCGAATTAAAAGGGTCTACAATCCCGACTCTACTTTGCAGGGGGCCCCGTTCTAAGTCTTCCTTTTACTATGTCAAAGAATATTGAATGAAATTTCGTTTACTATTGTCCTTTTTCTTTACAATTAAATGTTACTTAATTTTATTTAGAATAAATTTCAATTTTCAAACCAAGCTTATCAAGCAAGGAGACCCTCGAAAGTTCATTAGCGCCGAGGCCTCAAATATCATAATCCTATCCTGCACTGTATATCAATTTTTTAACTGCTATTTTAATTTTTGATAATGAAGAATATATTGATGTTTGTTACAGAAAAAGATCGACAAACGTGGACGAAAATTAGTCGATTATGATAGTCAGAGGCACAACTTCCAATCACTACAATGCAATCCAAGGAAACGGGACGAGCTTAAAGTATCTCGAGGAAAAGAGATGTTGGAGGAGGCTAAACGTACATACGAGCAGTTAAATTCGGAGCTTCACGACGAGCTACCTGCGCTGTACGACTCACGCGTTCTTTTCCTCGTTACTAATTTGCAGACTCTTTTTGCTGCTGAGCAAGTGTTTCACACTGAGAGCGCTAAGGTACGACATACGCGTTTTATTTGTTAAAATTTATTTTACATCGTACAAAAATTTTATTAATTATGAACTCTGTTCGAGTTAACACGTTCAGGTCCATTTGGGTAAATTTACTGACAACACAGGGGCAGGGACCTACAAATGTGTTACTTCGTCCCTGAACGTGTTAATAACCCCAATTTGTAGTTTTATTTCTAAATGACACATGTGTGTTTAATTTCCATTCCTTAGGTATATTCTGAGCTAGAAGCGATCGTCGATAAATTGGCAAATGAGAGTCAGAGGGGCTCGTACACACTAAAGAAGAATACTGAACCACAATCTCCAAAATCACCGAATGCCAACTCTTCGTAAGTAAAACTTGTTTAAAATTCTGAATCGAACGTGTATCTTTAAACGGTGTATTTTATTTGTTTCAGTTTAATAATCAACACACAACCAGCTCAGAATAACATTTCACCAGGTAAATATTATATACACGTGAGTCCTACGTTTGTGGGTTTTTGGGTCGTTTGCGTAGACTAATTAAGACGTTGTGCATGCGTGTAACATTAATGTAGCCACGCCACATAAAACCTTCCCGCAGACACAATTATGTGGCTAAATGTTTAGTTTCGAGTGAGCTTTATTGCGTGTTACAGCCGTGGATGAATCTGCTCCGGCAGCGAGAAATACGTCGCCGACTACTCAATTAAACGGCAATGCTAACAGCAATGCTAACAGCAATGATAATTCCCTCAATAATCAGGACGCATCCCCGCAAAGCACAGTAGCGGCCTCTAAGCGAGTCGAAGAGCTGTACGATATTCCAGTCGGTAAGTATGCGACCTGCCAATTGTTACACGTTCCACTCTTTCAAAGATATAAATTGAGTGCATTGAATTTTTTTTGTCCAATTGTGTTTTGCGCAACCAGAGAATTTGTACAATACTAGTGATTACCAAATTAATATTCTTTTATTAAATTGTTAATCTACAATTTGAATATTTATTCGCTACATTTATTCTTTGCACAAGTATTTCATAGCAGAAAATATATGTATACTATATCAGTTTCTTTATAGAAACCTTTAACAAAGGCTTAAACCAATTCATCAAATTATATTTCAGAATACATAACATGTAACAAGTACACATATAATAATGTTATATTATGTTGCCTGCCCATTTGTGCATGGTCTTGTTGATATAATGAAAGAAATCTTGATTCTCTAATTCTGACTCTCAGTTATGTATAGAAATGTTTGAACGAAATGAAAAGTCTCTGAAAGTTTCAGTAGTTTTGTGCATAATTAATGAAAGTCAGAGTTTAAATAAAACTGTAATCACAGGTCCATGACTAATGAGGCGGATTCAATTATTTTAGACGTGGAATATGAAAATGGTACCGATTTCTCTGTAGGGGCAACGACTGATAACTTGCCACCTGGGGTTTTGTATAGAGTCAAGGCTACTTACAAATACAGACGCGAGGATGCAGATGAATTGTCGTTTGATGTTGGTGATATTATTCGTGTAGTGGAGTACGATGATCCAGAAGAACAGGTTTGTATTTCATTAATAATTATGATACACGCAACATTAAAATAATTAACATTAAACAATATTTTGTTACTTTAGGAACAAGGCTGGTTAATGGGTATCAAAGAAGGTACGAATGAGAAGGGTATGTTTCCAGCAAACTTCACGAAACCTCTGTGAGAGCTTTACTAAATTTGTCTATTACACTCCAATGCTCACTGCAATAGCGTATTCTGTTTAAAGAAAATAGTTACAACTTGTAAAAAGTGAAAACGATTAAATAATGAGTAAACAATGAGGGGCAATGGGAAAGGAAGGGGGTGTGATGAGATGGTTACGCTGGAAGGTACTGCGGAGAATTTATCACCCCAAAGTGCCTTAACCCAGCCACTGTCTGTGCCAACGTTCATTGTCTGTAACATGGGACACTTAATCCCATTTTTCAATATACCAATACACATCATTAATAATCAAATAAAATATTTAAGCGAATAATATATTGTAATACATCATGCAATACTATAATATATATACATATATATATAATTTTATGAAAAGTGTACATAGAATTATACATTTTAAGAATATTTTATGAAATAACTTTGTGGCCACAGAAATTCGGAAAACTATTATTAAGAACTAATTTAATGATCACGACGCATTTTTTTGGCGAGAAATGATCAAAAATTGGAAATCCAATTACCTATTTGCATTCTTTTTATGAAGGTTTTACATTCTTTACTTATACAATGAGAAAGGTTAGAACCATAGATACCATTAATTTTCAAGAAATATAAATCAGTTTCAATATACTAATATCGAATCAGGAAATGAAGATGTTGGAATAAACAGAATTTTTTATTAACATGAGTATCATACGTTGTGTATAATATGCTGGGATATACACAAAAGTATATGGTTAAAATTTTATTTACATCTCTTTTATCCTTTATCGTAGTACGTTGTGAACATTCTATGACCAAGTATTTTTCTGACATACGTACATACATATTGCATAGAAAATCAAATGACGGTGATTAGATTACTGCCTTTGCTTCTATTCGTGCAGTAAGAGTAGAACAAATATCAATAAATGGTCCAATGACGAAAATTTGTAGTGTTAATTAATACTCGTTCAATATACTGACAAAATTTTGCATCAAACTTTATATATAATAACTAGCGTTACAATGATATATTAGTACAAGGAGAGTATCAACTTCAGCTTCCACTAAGTTGTGTGTCCTTTTGTCATTATATTGCATTGATCTAAGACGAAGAGAATATAGGAAAGTTGGATTGCTTATTTTATAAATGAAATGCTTTATGATTGAACGATTGATCCATTGTCACACTAACAGTTAACCCTATGTACGAATTAAAACTCTAAACAAATGATACGTTCACTTGAGAAGCATTGTAGGTGCATGTTATGAAAATGTGTCTACTATTTTACAGTTATATATTTATGATATTGATGATAAATAAACGTATATTTATACTCTATAAAGTGGACCAACAGGAAATCATGCAAAAGAAAAAAAAAGAAAATGAAGCTATTCTTACAGTAATAACAAAGAATAGCTGGTATTAGTGTACTTTTTCTGTTCTTAAACATGAAACGAATTTATAGATGTTAAATTTAATTAATGCAACAAATATTATTATCATATAACACATCATGCTTCACTTTAATATTTTTACAACATAATCTTCATACATAATTTGAATACGAACACATTCCAGTGATTGCAAATAAATAATTTCAATTCTATTTCAATGATCAAACAAAATTTTAATTAATTTGAACATTATTATTGAATTGTTAATAATTACGTTGGTTCAGTTTCATACAGTTTATTCTATTCATTATTCACACAATAATACAAAAAAGCAGAACAGTGAAGCATGAAAATTGTTTATTTATTCAAATTTAGTTTATTGGTTGTGTACATGGTAGCATTGTTTTAAAAATGATCAAGTAGCAAATATTGATGTATATTAAAAATGTGCCAATATGATATAGTATTACTAATATTATCGATGTATATTATTAATATAATGCCACTGATGCAACTATGAGGTTGCAAGCTAAACACAGTTTTTAGTATTATCTTTAAAAGAACAGTTATAAACATCAAGAACATAAATAATAATGCGAGGAGTAATCATAATTATTTGACGATGAATCTGTTAATATTATTAATACAATGTATTATTCAATTCATTGAGGAAGCAAACAAATGCATTTAATTTAACTTAAAAGAAATGACTGGTAAACAAGTATATTATTCTTCCTGCTTCCTCAGGAAAAAAAACGATATAAACCACAAATTTGATAATATTCTACACGGTAGATGTAAAATGTAATCAAAAATATCATATCATAAAGTAACTGTTCTATATCATTTTAATATATTTGTAAAGAATAATATGAAAAGTATATAAAACTACAGTAAATAATGTTTTCTGAACTTACGCGTAGAAAATAATTTATTATCTATGAAGATATTATGTTTTAAAAATAGCGATCGCTACCTGCCTTCTTTATATTGTATTTATTAATTTATTATTAATATAACATGCAAGCAACAAGCAACTGTTGATATTGATTAGAGTTTTTAATGCACCCATGTAATAATAAAGAGATCTGAAATTTAGTGTAGCAGTGGAGCAACCAGTTGTTATATCATTTATAATTATAATGCGTATACACATTTATGGCTATAATTGTCCTTTTCAGTTAAAAACGATTATAATAAACAATTACTGGTTTGTAACATAAGCGTTTATGATTCAAATACATGTTTTGTTTAATAATATACCCTGTAGCATACCTTCCTTATTTAATGTACCCTCCTTAATAAGAAAGTATCATAATAAACGTATCAAATCTAGGACTGTACGATTAATTTACATTTCTCCTTTTTATTTAACAAATAGTTTCGATGCCAATTTTGCTTGTTTAAAAGAACGTAAGAAAATTACATCTTCATGAATGAAAATGTTTATAATGAAATGACCTTATTTCATACAAATGCATATTTTATCAATCATTAACATCAGAAGAGAAATTTTATTTTCATTAATGCAACAATACTTACCTTGAATAAACACAATACAAGTTTTTAAGCTTATTTCATGAATCTCAAAATAATAAAAAAATATCTTAATAAATGTATTGTTAATACAAAAAGAAAACTTATCTAAATCGTGTATATTATTACAAAAATTTCAAGAAATACAACAAAATTTCATAGTATACTTGACACAACTTGAAACTGAAGTGGAAGAATCTTTAATAGAATATCTGAATTTAAATATTGTTGTTCTTGAAGTTCTTATTCATTACAAATAGTCTTTATGTGCATCTCAACTTTCTGCATTTAGAATGCTTAACTTTACTCGTCTATTAGCACTTGTTTAACCTTATGTAATAAATTTGAACAACAATTCAACATGTTTAACAGTACATATTCAACAAGATTATCAAATACTTTAATTATTATGTAATAGTAAACTGAAAGATTTTAAACCTTAACAATTATTTACTAGTATGTTACATCATTATTTCTTATGCGTTTAATTAAGTATCATTATAGTTAATTACACGCATACATATGTATGTACATTAATTAATTTATCATAGCTACAAGTATAAAAAGGAAGTAAGTTAATTATTATACAAGATGCAATATAGCATTGTAACGATGTAATATTTCTAAACCATTTAAATGAATAATCTTAAAAATTTTATTAATAATTTGAAATTAGTCATCTTACAAATAAAAAGTCATTAACAATATAATGCTATACTAAATAATTATAGATATAATAGATATATATCAAATTTGGAACTACCAAAAATAAGAAACATATGAGATTAATAAGAATGTAATGTTTCGTTATATCACTTATATTATTATTAAATATAAGGGATAGTCCGATGCTTCCCTGGAAAAACTACCGCATATGTGGCCTATTCACAGGGACCACATCATGTCTAGTACTTTCACGTTGTATCTACAAAAAAACTATTATTAAATATAAATTGTTAATAGTGTTAACAATCTGTTTGTACCTTGTATCAGCTAACAACACTCCACATTTAATCTCTCTTAATTTTGGGAAAAATTCCAAAATTTTGGCACAATAATAATAATGCTAATGAAGTTTTAAAAATGCTTAAATGAGTTGATGAAAAGCTTTACTCAAATAATTTAAAAATAGGTAACATAAATAAAACGTTTAAAAACGTTTGTAATAGTACTATAACGGGTACCCATGGATTTCAATCTAAGAAATGCAGTGTATACAAGCTACGGACTTCATGAAACCTTATATTAGGACACTAATCCCATTATTAAATGATGCCAAGGTTTGACCATGCCACTGAAATCTAGATTGTAGAAATATGTACTAAATAGCAAATTATTAGTCTTTTGTTAGATATACTTGCTCCTTTCTTGTTTTTTTTTTTTTTTTTAATATATAAATTCATTTATGCCAAAATATTCAGTTTCAGTTGATTAGGTTTCATTTTACTTTAATAATTTGCGGAAATAGAAAATAATTTTTGAAATATAATAAGTTTGTCATACATTATTTTATATTAGTTACATTTTCAGACTGTGTAAAAAACTGTGAAATTACTAATCGTACATTTTCTTAGAAATAAATCCCTTTATTATCAAAATTTGGTACAAAACGTTATATCTCATATAATATTGTAAATTAATTTGTACCTGAACTATTTTAATTGCTATATTATTAATACATTAACTACCATAGTGAAAATGAACATCTATAACAATTAAAACACCATTAGGGACACAATATGTTAATTTCCAAACATACACTCTTAATTTGGTACCTTATGCTATTAATATAATATTAACGCTATTCAAAGTTTCTCCTTTTCCCAGTTACTAATTATTCGATTATACAGAATTTAAGATATCAGTTACAAATAATCATTATGAGACTCAAAATGTTAAAAACCATTTTATAATTTTTTCAAATCAAAAGGAAAACTTTTATTTTATTTAAAAGTACTTGGAATTGCTGTCTAAATTTTTAATCTTAATACATAAGAAATATAGTTGAAATAAAAATTAAATATATCTCAAAATATGAAATTATTGAAGAAAACCTTCAAATTCCTAAAAGGGAATTGAACTTCCTTAAAAATGGAGCAATCATCAGGTAAATGTTACCTCATGACTTTATGAAGATTGTAGTCATCATATATTGCAATTTGCATGTATCATTCGATATTTAAATGTTGCATTCAAAAATATTGAAAGGCTCTTTAAAGAAAATATAATAACGACGAAGAAAATTGGAACACGTTTATTTTGAACGTGTCCACGATACAAAGGGGTGAGGAAATTAGAAATAAGCTAGAGGCATGAAAGAAATCTAGAAAGTTTGAGTAAACTAGCCGGTAGTAGAGAAGGAGAGAGAAGGTCGTAATAGAAGAGGGAAGAAGATACAGAGAGCGTCGGAGAGTGCGCGCGTGATCTTTTGGAAGGAGTAGCGGTGGCAGCTGTGTCGCTGCGAGCCGTCAGAATCGGTCGGTTCTACAGAGGCAAGTATAACCTATATCCGAAACACCGCGGCGCTATTACGTTCTCCGTGCCTCCTCCCCGGCGGGTGGCGGCCGCACCTCCTCCTTCTCGCCGATTTTAATCTCGTTAGCAGACACGTGCGCGCCCCCGCGCCTACAGACCACTATACGACGACCTACGGTGTCGGGGCTTCGCCAATCTGGTTTGGTCTAACAGGATTCTCGAGCGACCGAGGGTTGATAAAAGGCTGCGTACCGAGCGGGCGCGGCGCGAATCGCAGGAGGAGTTGCTCCGTTCAAGGTGTGGGCGCTCGTGCAGCAGCGGCAATAACAGCAGACGACCTCGTCATCGTCTTCTATTCTGTCGTCCCCGGTTCGTTGTTTCCGTCTACGTTGCTTCGCAATCGTGTTCGTCGTTTGGCATACGTTCTCCGCGCATAGGCTGCGTATGTGTGCACACGGTGCATATTCAGTGTGAATCTATCTCGCTGCGTGTACGGTACAGAAAGAGTAGCCCAGAGTGAGAGAGCGAAAGGCGCGTGAGAGAGAGAAAGAAAGAGAGAGAGCGAGTAAGAAGGGAAACCGAAAGAAAGAAGGAAAGACAGAGATCGAGAGAGAAAGCAGAGAAGGAGAAAGATATACAGAGAGGGGGTGAAAAAGAAAGAGAGCTAAGGAGAGACAGAGAGCAAACGAAAGAGAAGGAGATAGAGCACCGGTGGGTTACCACACCCAACCGCGCCGGGGACCGAGTGAACAAGTGAACGAGCCGTACGAGAGCTCTCTCGCGAGTAGTACGCGGGTACAGCGAGGGACCCAGGGACCGACGATCGAGATTCGACAGGGTACAGTCGGAACTCTTTAGATCTCGATCTAACGGACCTCGCTCTCGCGAAATTCCTCTCTCACCGGAATCGTCGAAATCACGCCGCGACGAAAAGGCTAAACGTGTACGCGCGTGTCCCCCCCGCTTCCTCGGCATCTCTCGCGAGTGCGTTTCACGTTTCGTCGCAAAAACGTGTGTGTGTGCATAAAGAAGGTTAAAGGTAAACGGATAATAAGTGTGAAACAGAAGCGAAGGATCGAGGGAAGCGACGAGGAAAGAGAGAAAAAAAAAACCGAGGCGTAAAGAAGCCGACACATAGAGAGAGAGAGGATAGGAGAAGAGACAAGCTACCGGCCGAGGTTGGTGCGTGTGCGTACATGTGTTGATGTGTCGCTGGCGTCGTCGAGCCCTGCCAGGAGTGCTCTGTCGCCGCGTGTGCCGAAGTTGTTGAGAATACGGAGATCCCGGAGCTGCATCCGTTAAGTTTACGCTCGCGTTTACGTCGTCGCCGTCGTCGTCGTCTTTGTGGACAAGTGTCGGTGGTGAACCGTGCTAGTGGCGGTAGTGGTGGTGGTGCGAACGATTGAGAATTTCGTTGGTTCCGCCAGGACGAGAGGAAAGGAAACACGAGAAGAAAGCCACGAGGACGGCGACGAGACGTCGTCGCTCGTTCGCGGTAGCAAGGTAATATCGGCCCGACGACGATACCGAGCCGTCGAGCCCACTGCTGTCTACGACAAACCTCGCCGCTCGGCAATCACTCGTCACTACCGCAAATCGCTCGTTCCCTCTCTCCCCTCCTCCCTCCCTCTCCCTCCCCCTCTCCCTCTTCCTTCTCCTCCTCCTCTTCCTCTTCATCCTTCTTTTCCACCTCTTTCTACTCATTTTTCTCCTCTCTTCCTCCTCCGTCCGTCAAGGATCCTGCCGTCCTGAGCCATGGCGTGCTGCCTGTCGGAAGAGGCGAAGGAGCAGAAACGAATCAATCAGGAGATCGAGCGGCAACTACGAAAGGACAAACGAGATGCCAGGCGGGAACTCAAATTACTACTTTTGGGTAAGTTTCATCGTTTACGACTATCGATAATCGTCGCGTTCGAGTTCTCGTTTCGATCATTACGCCGTGCGATTTTCACTCGTATCGAATAATCTATTATACGAGTTTCTCGACGTCGTTTCATTCACTCGGCTCGCGAATGTGCCTGGTCTCCATTTGTACGTTGCCTAAGACCGATCGGAGTGCACGAGTGTAGTTGACCCAGTCTAGCCGGCGTGCGCTTGACAGCTCTTAACCATACTCGCTACACGATACATACTCTGTTTCAAGCCGGTCAACTACATACATATGTATACATACGCATTTCCGATTTAATTTCGACGAACCGGGTGTTAAAAATTACACGATCCTCCGGTTTTCAGAGTTTCTCGCTTCTCGCAAGTTTTTTAGGTTATCTCGACACGTTCGATACCGGTGAGGTAATATAACCTCGCGCGAAAGGCGGGTGATTTAAACGGCTCTTCTAACGTCGAAAGAGCGAGCGTCGATTTTGAATGTTTTAATTTGTAATTTTATCGAGTTTACGTTGCTGCCATTTCTGTGTTGCTCACGCAAAGATTTCTCAAGCTCGACGGCACATAACGACACGGCGAACGTTTTTAGAAAATTGCTAAGATATTAAAAGCCGTTTTATTATTATCGCTGCTTTGTGGCCTGCCGATTGAGCGGATCGATTTTCCTCTACGAGACGTTATCGCCGTTATATGGTTTTTATAACGTTCGCTTCGTGCCGTGGAAATCTTGTAAAGTTTGTAACGCGTAGCAAGGAAAATCCGTTCAAAGTTGAAAATTCATTGTGTGTCTCTGCACGTCGATAATCCACGCTATCAGCAAGTAAATGGTTCGAACGATAGACGGCAGAGTCGATTCTAAAATTAGTACAGTTATCGAAAGGTTCATGCTGATCTTACGTGTACCCGTCTACGTATATATCTTATCCATCTACGTATTTTTCTACACTTTTTCATTGCGTCCCTAATGGAACGCCTTCCTAGAGAAGTCCGCCATTTTTTCTATTTATTTACACGCGTGACGTGTGATAAGGTGGCAATGACCCTAAGGGTGAATTTTCAGAGACGCGACAGGAATTTCATATTTACAGAAAATTACATATTTCCTTTTTATAACTCATAAAAATCACATAAAAGCATAATTTAACAAAAGACAATTTACAGTTTATTTAATTATTTGAAGAATTCTTTTATAATTTTTAGAAATAATAGTTCTCTATATAGTGCCCCCCTTCCTCAGTTCCTGAAACTGGTTGCTCTGCATTAATAACCCCTTATTAATAAAATAAACAATATCAAAATTTTGTAATTATACATTGCTCATTTTGTAATTGTAAGATTGTTTTAATGGAATGACTGAGGATCCATATGATAAAAATGATATAAAATACTGTCATATTTAAATCATTTTTATTTAGAAGAATTAGGAATAGTATTTTATATTCTGTATCTCTATCTTGTCCCTGACGTACGCAGAGGAGATAAGAGCAAGCAATTCCTGGAACACCTACCTGCCCCGATAGTGGTCGCGATAAGGTCCCAATCTCCGATCATTAAGCAGGCATTACTGTATTACGAAATAAAGATTTTGATATTACAAAATCATGTTATAGTTATATAGGATATAGAAAATTGCATAAAATTTGATGTGATGCTTAAACGTGTAGGCAAAATGGTAACATGAATGAAAGACACAATAAACATAGGTAAATGTACTAAATTATATGGCTTAATTAGAGAAAAAAGGTTCTTCATTAACGCACAAAAATACCTGAGTAAAATTTTAATAATTTTGAGGTTACGCGTTCAGTCCTTCAGTTGCGGTCATCTCTGCTGGGAGTTGTACAATTCGTTATAAAAACGAATAAACACTATATTGGAGACTGTTCGTTTTGAATATTAGCGTAGATATGTATTTAATACAATTCTAAACGGTGCACAGCAAAATTTTAAAGAAATAAATAGAATTAGTCAATACTCTTTCTTTAGAAATTGTAACAGGATTATGTCATTCAATTGAGTTGAGAAACTGTCGTTCATCCTCTGCATTCTCCCTATTGCTATTTAATTAGTGTTCCTTTTTTAACTTTAACAAATTATTTCACAAATTAAAATTATTTAACCCAATGGCTCTGAAGCAGTGGTATCCATATTACTTGCACTGGTACAGTGGCGAGCATAGATGCCTTCTTTTGGACTAAAAATAGAGGTTAGAATACTAATGCTTAAAATATTACAGCTTAACATATTTGTTTTTAATTGCACGTAAGTTAGACTGGAACTTGGTAACGGTTTGTTAAAATAGGCTTTAAGTGTCAAAACAGGGGAAGAGATATAAAAGAAGGATCTTTGCACGCAACTGTACGTAAATAATTTGTACAATATGCAGTGTAACAATTTTATTATCCAGTATTATATGTACATATTTCTCGGATAAGTTTCCGAATGGCCCCACCAAAATTGAGAACTCAGGTTCGGTATATAACCTAAATTGACTACTAGAAACTGATTAAAATTGGTTTCAGAGCTGGATGTCTTATGGTTTTTGAGATATCGTGGTAAGAAATTTTTGTACATTTTGGGACTACGTATGCGCTATTCGATACTGAGCATGCGCTATTTAATACTGCGCATGCGCTATTCGATACTGCGCATACACCGAACCTAACCTAATCTAACGTAACCTAATCTTACCACAATGTCTCGAAAACGATAAGACATTCAGCTCTGAAACCAACTTTAATCGGTTTCTTGAAGTCAATTTAGGTTATATACCGAACCTGAGTTCTCAATTTTGGTAGGGCCCCATTCGGAAACACAGCCTATTTCTCATATCAATTGGTACAACATATTTATATGAAGTAGGATCTTTTTTTAAAAAAGAAATATAAAACAAAATTTTTATTGGAACTAAATGCACGTTTAAAATGAACTCTTGAACAGCAGAGTCTCAAACTTACAAATTATATACAATGGTATTAACCTAAAAATAAATGTATTATTTGTAAACGGAAGAGTTTCATATATTGGTAAAATAATTTTTAAGTAAAAGAGTTTCGTTATTGGTACAATAATTTTTAAAGGAACAGTATAAAATTTAGAAAAATTAAAATAATATGAAGTACAAAACTAAATTAAAATTGGCACTCTCTTCATGGTTCGCTGTACGAGGGTTGAGTAAAGTAGAATTAAATACACAGAAACTGGTTTTCATTAAAAAAGCACAAATATTACATTGAATTATCATCCTTTTTTTAAATACAATTATTTTATTACAAACAAAAATATATGATAATAGTGTAATTAAGTGTATTATCTCTTAATTTTCTACGTATAGGAATTTTAATATTTTTGATACTTTCCTTGGTAGTACTAACATTTTTTAATTTTGCTTTTAAGGTACATTTATGAAAAGGTTGAGAACCGCTGATTTAAATAATGATAATTTTGTTTACCTGAAAAAACAAATTTTTATTGTCCCACGTTAAAAAACTAAATGAATAAAATTGCTGAATGCGAGAGTAACTAATTTATCACCTTTACAATATAAATTAAATACCTAATAATTACTGCATAATGTAGTAAAAGATCACACTTTTGAATCGCAAGGGGGAAAGAATTCATATACAGTAGAATTCCAATAATTTGGCATACTCGGAATTTTGGCAATGTCACACTAATGAACTTCCACTTTAATTTGGTAAAAATGAGGAAATTATTAAAAAGAAATTTTTATCAGTACGATTTGCTAGCAGAATTAAAATAAATACATAAAAATAATTTAATTTTATTAATCTATTTTCATAGTCTAATTACTATGATACAATAGAACATAAAGCTGTTAAATTATTATAAATAATGTTAAGGCTGTATTTAAAAAAAAATCATTCCAGAGAATATATAAAGAAAAAGAAAAAAAAAATAACCTTCACAGGGGATAGTAGTGGTGGGGACAAAGCGCGCCCACGTATTGGACGCCGGATTATCGGAACTCTACTGTACGTCAGAGCAGCGTGAAATAATCATCAGAGAGACATCATTGATCGCGTGTAAAAATTAGCCACGCGTTCAAGCGACTCTGTTTAACATAATGTGTAATAGAATCGGTAACACGATCCACGGCTGCTTTCAGATCCCTTTGTCGCCGTACATTTTTGCGCGAAACTCGCCTTGTTGTGCGCATTGTTTCCTACAGACTTTCACGTCTTTGTGACTGCGTTGTGATTCACGCGATACATATTCACGATACGAAACCCGAGCTAAGCGGTTTTTCTTTTTTTTTTTTTCACTTCGCAAACTTCTCGTCTCCGTTGGGATGAACTTTGATGGTCCGTTCATCGTGCACACACGATAGATTCATGTTTGGCGAGTAAACAAAACTTTATCTAATTCCACGTTTCTTCATGATAATGATTTAGAGTAGTTGGTCAGTCATCGACACGAGATTCGCTATCGCTTCGAGCCGTGACTTTCTATTCTTTGGCATGAAGTATGTAAGTAGTTGTGACGAGAAAAGAATGAAGGAAGCAACGAGTCAAAGTGTCCCCGGAAGGTGAATTTTCTGATTTCGTAATAGGGCGTTGATTTAACCCTTTGATTGTTATGGAATATTTATAAATATTCGATTAATGTTTTCCTTTTGGTTATGGTTGACATCTTTTCATTATAATATATGCTAGCAGGATGAAAGAATATTAAGTAAATTAAAAAAAAGATACATAGTAATATTGTACGAATGCTATGATCGCTAAATAAGTATGACGTTTTGCTTTCATAGTACATTACCAAGCTCGGTAAGCTCCCCAAGGAGAATGACAATGTGAGGGAGGTGGCCTCAAATATATGGAAGCCTGTGGCCCTATCACGTGCGTGTAAACGTTTGCGCGGGACAATTTGAATTGATATTTATGTTATTCATATTTTACAGTTATATACTGAATTATATAATGTTCAAAATATTAAAATATTTTTGATATAGTATAAATTACTATAATATATTATGTTAGTATAGATATATTTATTTTTCAATCTCACAACCATGATAAAGGACTTTTTTCAGAGTGCTTATAAAAACTATATTACAATTATCTAACATTATATAGCACGGTATATAATATAGGTTATCTATAGATATCTAGAAAACATATAACTACGTAATTCAATACAATTATTATCACATATTATATTATACATATTAATAATTTAATTTAATTTAATATCGCATAAATTATATTAAAATATTTTTCTTTATTTTTTATAGTATTTAATCATTAAAAATTATAGTATTGTTTTTCTAAATTACTCTTATTATTAACCCATTACATTATAAGGTTAACTCTGACTTGACAAAACTATTTTTCCCTAGATTTCTTAAGCCACACCCCAGTTGTGACACTTCATATAATAAAGGAAAATTAAATTACAGTTAACTGAGAGCAAAATAAGAAAATATAACTTCAAGGTCTAATATTGTCTTTAAAATTAAAATTTTGAATGTTCCTATATCCCCTATAACGCCATATTCCCTAGGGAAGCCTACTTTGCTCAGTACTGTACAATGCCACTATCGTTAAGAGTTGAATTATCTAATTCAATATTCAAATATAAATAAAAATAATTTTGTGTATAATATTCTATTTACAGTGACAGTAAAATAACGTAAAAAACTGCAGATGAAAAATTACATCTATGAAAATCATGTTTTACAGCCTTTCTCGTAAACTGAAATTCTGAATAAGATAGTCGGATACCCCTAGGTGGTAGTGTACGAGTTCATTGTTTCCAAAGAGTGAATCGCTATTTTTCCTGTGCCGATGAACTTGGAAGTCGTCGAGCGGACACGCTAGATTCGATCGATTCGATTTCAATGACTCGAATTCCAGCTTACTATACATTTCCGAAGCTGACTGACTACGCGTTCGATTACTTAACACGTTGCACGAATATTGCAGGAAGAAACGGGACTTACTATTATACAACTGCTAAATAATTTGATAATACTTTACCATTTGGTCGATATCTCCGACTTTTTTTCAAACTTTAATATAAAATGATAAAATGTCGCATAATTAATTCTATATCAAAACTATACCCAAACCTAACCTAATTTATAGATTTACTATAGTATCATAGTTTCCGAACCTATAGTATCATCATCATGTAACGATGATTTAGAAAAATTAATAAGAGAGGATTTGTTTTTGCTATAGAAACCGGATTAACAATTTGCAAAATTATAATGAATTCCGGAGTTTGGAATCTTCTAAACCATCATCATCGAATGATGAAAATTCATTAAATTATTGTCATGAAATATTATTAAATAATTATCATTAAAAATCATTAAATTATCATAATGAAAAGTCATTGAATCATCATCATTAAAAACTATTAAATCATGAAAAATTATTGAATTATTATCGTAAAAAATCATTGAATGATTATCATCAAAAATTATCAAACCATTATCATTAGAAATCATTAAATCATCATTAAAAAAAGCTATTGAATCATTATCATAAAAAATCATTGAACCTTCATCATTAAAAATCATTAAGTAATCATCATAAAAATTTATTAAACCATCATCATTAGAAATTATTAAATCATTATCAAAAAATCATTAAACCATTACCATTAGAAATCATTAAATCATCATAAAAAGTGATTAAACCATTATCATGAAAAGTCATTAGATCATCATATGATGATGATGAAAAATCATTAAATCATCATCAGATAATGACGATTTATAAAATCTTTGTTTTTGCAATAGCAATTGGATAAAAATTTTACAAAATTATCGTAAATCCCAAACTTTGAAATTTTTTGACATAATAAATGGAAGGCTTATAATGAAGCCCCCTGAAAAGTAGGCCCTGGGGCTGTAGCCCCCCTCAGACCTTTCTTAATCCATCGCTGATTAAACGTCATCGAAATCGTTTTAGAAGAGGAACTAGGGATTGGTTTCGAAGGTGCAACGCGCACGCGAAGAATCCCTATATGGTGACAGTATTACGGTAATACTGGTTCGACGAAGGTTAAGAACTTAATCGTTGCACGATGAATAGAATTATGGGAGAATGTGACCGAGAAAATTATTCCTTGCTCGGCCAGGCTACTCACGTTCCCGTGGCCGGAAGAACAGAGTCCGAGTTAATGCCTGAAACTTATTTCTGCACTTACTCTAAACCGCGAGACTAGAAATACAAACGATCGTAAGAAAAACCGACCGACATTCCGATCCGCTAAGTAATATGCTTTGTTTACGGAAACCGTCCAACGTTCCACGCTACTTTCCGTCAAAGACGTTTTCGTGCATTACATACCACATCCGAAATTTGGACGACTTCATCGTGCTTACCTTACGAATCATCAAACATCTATTTATTTCATTTTCACGCAGCCTGGAAATTTTTTTATCGACAGTCATTGATTTTTTCCAGAACGTTTTGGTAAAATTGAACTAAAATTGTAACAATAATTTCATAGTATAATAAAAGTTATACTAATAACTTTAGAACAATTAATTATAGACATTAGACTAATTAGGTAGGGGTCAAGGTAAATCTATCCCCTCCCCCAAGAAAAAAATATGAAATATAATTTCATGATATAATAAAATTATACTAATAATTTTATAATAATTAATTATAAACATTAGACTAATTAGATAGATATTATGGTAGATCTACCCCCTTCCTCAAGAAAAAAATATGAAATATAATTTCATAATATAATAAAAGTTATACTAATAACTTTAGAATAATTAATTATAGACATTAGACTAATTAGGTAGGGGTCAAGGTAAATCTGCCCCCTCCCCAAGAAAATAGTATGAAACGTCTAATATAAGATAATGAAATTTTATCCTGTCACTCTGATAGTAGTGTATTTCGTGGAATTTTTTATTGCAATTTTAATCCTTAATGTACCGTGTGAGGTCACTTTGCAACCATGTTTTTTATGCCTTCAGTAACTTAAAATGCATTTATTATCAGTCCTGATAAATTAAAACAGATTTAAAAAAATGAATTAAAATAATTTTTGGAAGAAAATTAGTATACATAAAATGGTTATTATTGTGAAAATTAGCATGATTTTTGTACTTTATATCTTGGTATGTTAAGGGTGAATCAATTAATACCCCAAATTGAATATTTGAAACATTTTATTGTCTTTTATGGGTCAAATTTTTGTTCACCTATTATAATACTACAATAGACTCTCGTTATATTGCCACGTGAGTTTACATAGATTTTCAATTATATTATCACCCATAGTTTATTAAAACAATACACTTCTATCTACCCTCTCCCCTAATTGAGAAGTTGGAAGCTTAAAAAATTGTTCATTTCTACACTCCCGTCCGTGGCCATATAACGAGAGCCTACTGCATGCATAAAATACGTATGTTCTGTTTTCTGCATCGCTGCTGATGCCAATCTGCACAAACTGTAATGTGCATCATGAAACCAAAGAATGCATGCATCGCAACATATTTCATTGTGTTTAGTATACATATAGACTGCTTTAGCTCGTCTTTTATCAGGATTTTGTCTTTAGGCTCATCCTGACAAAAGACAGACTGTATACATACAGACTATCTGCAAACTGTTATTTTATATATACAATGAGCAAATTTTAGTTTTATTGAAATGATGTTAATGTTATCAGCTATAACCCTTGAACAATTAATGAATGGGTTAATTAAGATCCAAACTTAGAAAACATGTACAAGGATATTAACTTAAAATTAAGTGTATAATTTTTAAGGGAACAGTGTAAAATTTAGAAAATGAAATTAACACATTATCCACCAGCCATAAATAAAATACATATGCACTACCACCTTATAATTAATAGTAATTAAAGATTACAGGGTTTCAATTCCCTCTTAATTGAAGTATATCTGGCTTTCATTATTTCAACTGAATTATATGACTATTTGTAATAATCAAAAGGTTATTTGATTTTTCTTCAACAACCGATACTGTCAAAAAGCTTATTAATAGTCTTTCGGTAGATAAAGTGTTATATGATATACAAAATTATATTAAAATTGGGGCTCTCTCCATGGTCCGCCGTCCAAGAGTTGGGGGCGGACGTCTTTTATGAACGGTTTCTTCAGTGAACCCTTAACCGAGTTACTAATTAACTGGAATATAATTATTTTCTTCTTATTTATTTAACAAAACAATTAGAAATAAAGAATAAAAAAAGTAAAATAAAAAAATTAGAAATGAAAACATCGGTACCAAAAAATTTCTCACCGCATACCAAATTTTATATACAAAAATCTACGAGTACAGTTTCTGGCAGAGCAACTGTAACGAAAGAATGAAAAAAAAAAAACAAATGAATTTCATTAATATTTGAGAAAAATCATTCAAATTTTTCCGTCTTACTTTTCGCACTCTTTTCATTTACTTTCGAAAATATGTTTTAGATATTGAAATTAATCAGGATTTATAATGATTAACACTGTACTGCAGAGTAGCGAACATAGATGTATCATCATTTGAGTATTTTCAAGATATTGTATCACAATGCTGTATGAATCATTTCAATTCCTCCTGTGAATAAGAGCATTACGTGTCAGACTTCTTTATCGCATTGTTAAAGCGATAGTGAAGAGTTATTCTAATTTAAAAATGGCTAATATGTATCTGATGCATACCAATCTTTTATGTAGTCTGCTCATTCCCCAAATATGAATCCTTTGAATTTCTACTCATGAGGACACTTGAAATTCGGTGTAGATAATAGCCTACTAGAAGTTACGCCCCCATTTGTAAAAAATTCATAAAATGTGGCAATTGTTCTGAATTGTGCTAGATTGTGCCAAATTTTATGAATTTTTACAAGTGGGGGGCCAACTTCTAGTAGACTACATAATATTTATTGAAAATCTTGAAGAACAATGAACCCTCGTTATATTGCCACCTGAGGGATTTGATCTTCATACAGATTTTCAAGCATACTAGTGATACTCTTCCCATCGTC